TTATTCTTATTCTTATTCTTATTCTTATTCTTATTCTTATTCTTATTCTTATTCTTATTCTTATTCTTATTCTTATTCTTATTCTTATTCTTATTATTTTTTAATCATTTCACCACTCCTGGGAGTGTTTTTCGTAAAATTGTTTTATTTTTAGTTTAGTACGAAATCTTTTTGTTTCTTCATCTATGGTGTAGGTGGCCCTGCCCCACTCCCCACCCATCAATCTCCTAAGAGCCATTAGGAAAAGGGCCTGCCATATGCAATATCGAAATTGAAGAATAACGAGTTTCTAAAAATACCAGCTATTAGAAACGCCTGATGTACTGCAACCCATTCATCATTCCAATTCAGATATAGTTGTGGTCCCGCTCAGTCGTCGTGTTGTTGCCTTGTTTTTAGTCGCTAATCGCGGTGTATGCTGTACAGTCAGTCACCAGGTGTTGTTTCTAACCTCAAACTTTTACGCGCTGACAGTTTTTCTAAATTGTCGTTGTTTTTTTCCAATTGAAAAAAAATCGTGGAGCGTAATTATGTCCAAAATACGCATTGGCAAACTCATTTCATCAAATTTTGTGAACTTGTTTTTGTAATTCTCTCCACTGTGGTGTCTTTATGACTGTTGTTTCTTCGCCGATACGCAAAATGAAGGAATTTCTTCTAATCACCTGTGTGCTATTTTTTCAACAACAGCTTAAACGTGAGTTAAACACTTATTTTTAACACCTGTCAACGATTTTGTCAAGTGACAAGTGTCTTTTTGACATTGACATACCAACCATCTATTTAATAATAAAATGTTACTACCTATAATTAAGTTGGTAGTGTCTCAAAGCCTTCTTTGATCAAGGTATGTGCAGAATGGGCAAAAATGTTTGTTTTGCAATAAAACTGTCGCTTACTAAACACAAGGAAGTCGAGAATCTTTCTTTGAGCAACAAAACACCCAAACATTTTTTACAACGTGCATTGGGTTTTGGTTATTTGTCAAAATATAGTCGTGACATAAATAAAATTACCAAAGGACCTTTTTTATGATTTCTTGAGCGTTTTAGCACATTTTTCAATTGAAAATTTACAAAATAATTTCGTCACAAATCGCTAAATTTACTCAAAAATTGTGTTCCTTTTACTTTTTTAGATTGTACTGAAAATTTTATTCAAAAATAATACCATTTTTCCGTTTTAGGACGTTTTTTAGTCAGAATCGCAATTGTTTTGAAAATTTTCGTCGAAAATGAGGTAAAAAATTAATAAACTATCACGAAACTAAAATTATTTTTGCTTCTTTGGAGAGTTTAAGCATGTTTTGAGCCGAAAGAAAAATCATCTGGTTGCTATTCCAAACGTTTTAGCAGATTTTTCAATCAAAAATCACATAATTAATTCGAAAATGATGGTATTTTTGCTTTTTTCAAACATTTAGTTGCGGTTTTAAGTTTTTTCTTTAATTCTTGTTAAAAATATACCAAAATTAATACATACAGGGTGCGCCAGAACTCGCGCCCCAGAGAAAATTTTCAGGTAAGGTAAGATACCAGGAACATGAAAAAAATGTTTAAAAAATTCTATCTGTCAAAAAATTTTGACATTTATTTTTTGACATTTGACATTTTTTTATATCTATTTAATGATACTGATGATCTTGTATGTTTTTTTTACAATTATTTAGAAAAGGGACAAAAATTTTGCCAATAAAAGCCACAAATAACATTAAACAGAGTTACAATTTAGGATTCAGCTTCCTTGTTTCCTCTTTTAATAGCCTATAGCAAAAAAACTTCGAAATTTTTATAGATAATTTTTTTTTAACATTTTTTCTATGTTCCTTGTATCTTACCTTATATTGCATTTTTCTCTGGGGCGCGAGTTCTGGCGCACCCTGTATACCAGTCTAAATAAAAAAAACGACATAATTTATGCTTTTTTCGAGCGTTTTCAATATTTTTCAATAAATAACGCAATTATTTCGCAAAATTTTGTCAGGAATACGTCGGAAAATAATTGAATTAAGTAAACAAAAACCCAAACATTTTTTACAATGTGAATTGGGTTTTGGTTATTTGTCAAAATATAGTCGTGATCACGCTGTTTAAAAAAATCACAAATAGTTTTTCTTAATGGAGCATAAATATTTTTACACTGAAAAATTATGTTGTGTTGAATAAATGGTACAACTATTAATTTTTCATCTCTAAAGTGATAAATGTAGCACCACGACCACCCATATTTTATTTCTGGTTCATGCACACCTCTTATGAGAGGACTTCTGTGTGGTCATTTGTTGTATTAAAGACCCCCTTAACCTTGAAATTTAGATTAAACTTAATTAAGAGAAGCATTCAGGTCCATAGTGAAAAAGCCACTTGGGGGCCGAATATCTCACTATAATTTATTAATCTTTTTGAATAAATTCATTAACGGTTTATTGGAGGAAGATTTACATCATAATTGTTATCAGTTTGCAAATTAATAACCAAGGAGAATGTGTCACTTTTTCCTTAGATTATTATTAATTATTTCTGTTTACAATGTGACATTATTTTTATCAAATTTTAGCTATTTTTGTTGATGAACAAAATTTTTGTGTAGTGTAACACTTTATTATCATCGGTCACAGATAATTTGGAAAACATGACCGTTTCGTTATGCTTTATTTATGCTAATTGATAAGTGTTAAGAAAATTAAATCTTGTTGTGAATACGAAAAATTACAGGAGAAAAATAAAAATAACAAAACTTGTTTTATTTTCTAGTGCTTTTAAATAAGTACGTTTTTCCGTGAACAAAAATTTTTTAAAATTTATTTTAAACGAAAAAAACTTTCAGATAAAAATCTTAACTGATAATATTTGAAATAAATAGATCGGTTTTACCTATTTGGTTACAGTTCTACTATTGTGAGAACAAACGTGTCCATTTTTTTAATATACCGTGTCCTCGGAAAAAATTTACAAGACGAAAATACTTACGCCAAAACTTCAAAGAAATATTTTTTTTTTTGCTTGACCTGAAACTGGAATTAAAACTTCATTATTTTGACTCAATCAAAAAAAAAATTTTGTCTAGATTTTGGACTAATCTCTGCTTTTTAAATTTTATTTTTTGACAATAATGTCACTTTTATAATTCTGTAATTAATTAATTGAATAAGAATAATGATTGTTTTTGTTGTTTTTTTTTTTTTAATTTTAAAGCTGTTTATTTGAGTTGCTATTTATTAAAATTAGAGGAAAGTCCAAAATCAAGAGAAAAATGAACTTTTCTATTCACTGATTACAGATTCGCTCGTTTCAGGTGACACAAAAAATGTTTTTCATGAAAACTATTGTTATTAAAATACATAAAAAATCACTAGAAGAGAAAGTTTAAATTCTTATTTCTTCCCGATTTTCTTCGTTTTCTTCTACTTTATTGCTCAGGTTTGAACAAGCAATATTTTACAAGTTGTTGGAGCGTTATTACAGAAAAATGAGTCCTTATATGGTCAACCTAAAAGTGCATATCAACAACTTTCACTGAGAATATACATACTTTTGAGTAACATGAGAAATAAGATAATATAAAGTCGCCAACTAAGATCAGCCAACGTAAGCAGATTGATTCTTTATGTGTCTTGTGTAAACAAAAAATTAAAAATAAACAGATGACTGGTTATTAAACGCACGATTTTCTCTAATAAACCGTGTAATTTGCTAGATACAACATTAATAATAATTATTACACGACAAAAACCAAAAATAACTATTAGTGAGATTAAATGTGCACAAATGCTCGGTAATTGGCGGTTTGCGGTTGATATTAAATTGTGAAAAACTTGTAACGAGTTTCAACTAGGATGTAGCAACACAAATAGTAAAAATTGAGTTGATTTTTATAAAAATGTTTTTAAGCTAAACTTTTGTTGGTCGATTTTGCTTAGTTTTAAAAATAAAACGGTTTTTTTTGACAAAAACGCACTTTTTAAAAATTTACTACACAAAAACTAAGACATCTAGAAATATTTTTTTTTACTACCGCAAAGAAGAAGGTACAAGCTATAAGGTTGTAACATTTTTTTAGTGTGTTTCATTTGCAAAGATAAAAAAATGAAGGCTTTTGTTAAAAGTTCAATAACTTAAAAAAAATAAATGGAACACCCTATTTATTGTTTTTGCATTTAAAAGATTATTAAATTCTTGCTTTTTTTAAATTTTCGTCGAAAATGAGGTAAAAAAATGAATAAACTATCACGAAACTAAAATTATTTTTGCTTTCTTGGAGAGTTTGTGATAACTATTGCTTTATAAAAATTTTTCAAATTTAACAAAACATTTATAAATGAAATTCTAACGACACAATATAAAAAAGTCCACTTTATGTTGTCCTGAAAATTAACATTCTCATTTAAAAGATTTTTTTCTTGTTTACTGGGTGTAATTTTGAAGCTAGTTCATCGACTTTTCGAAAACGGTTTTCCATATTAACACCATATTTTCAATAAGAGACGGAATTATCTCGAAATATTTAGACAAAAATATACCGAAAAGTTACCAAATTAAGTAAAAAATAATGAATTTTGCTTGTTTACATCACGTTTTTTTGTAACATATTGAAAAATTACCACATTAGGTTGAAAATGACCTTTTTTATGATTTTTTGAGCGTTTTAGCACGTTTTTCAACTAAAAATTTACAAAATAATTTCGTCACAAATTGTTAAATTTACTCAAAAATTTTCTGGATTGTGCTAAAAATACCATTTTATAAATACCATTTTTCCGTTTTAGGACGTTTTTTAGTCAGAATCGCAATTGTTTTGAAAATTTTCGTCAAAAATGAGGTAAAAAATTAATAAACCATCACGAAACTAAAATTATTTTTGCTTCTTTGGAGAGTTTAAGCATGTTTTGAGCCGAAAGAAAAATCATCTAGTTGCTTTTCCAAACGTTTTAGCAGATTTTTCAATCAAAAGCACAAAACTTCGGCAAAATAAGCCGAAAAATCACATAATTAATTCGAAAATGATGTTATTTTTACTTTTTTCAAACATTTAGTTGCGTTTTTAAGTCTAAAACTAAGTTTTTTCTTTAATTCTTGATAAAAAACATACCAAAATTAATACATATACCAGACTAAATAAAAAACGACATAGTTTATGCTCTTTTCGAGTTAGTGTTATTTGTGCTTTTTTTAACATTTATTTATTATTTATTTTTACTTTTTTAGATTGTGCTAAAAATTTTGTTCAAAAATAATACCATTTTTCCGTTTTAGGACGTTTTTAGGTCAGAATCGCAATTGTTTTGAAAATTTTCGTCGAAAATGAGGTAAAAAATGAATAAACCATCACGAAACCAAAATTATTTTTGCTTCTTTGGAGAGTTTAAGCATGTTTTGAGCCGAAAGAAAAATCATCTGGTTGCTTTTCCAAACGTTTTAGCAGATTTTTCAATCAAAAGCACAAAACTTCGTCAAAAATAAGCCGAAAAATCACATAATTAATTCGAAAATAATGTTGTTTTTGCTTTTTTCAAACATTTAGTTGCGTTTTTAAGTCTAAAACAAAGTTTTTTCTTTAATTCTTGCTAAAAAACATACCAAAAAATTAATAGATATACCAGACTAAATAAAAAACGACATAATGTATGCTCTTTTCGAGCGTTTTAAAACATTTTTCAATAAAAAACGCAATTATTTCGCAAAATTTTGTCAAGAATAC